TTTTCTGATAAACTCAAAGAACTTGTTATAAAGCGATGGAAATATACATATCATCCAGCTATGTTTGTAGCTTATATGTTAGATCCACAATTTTTAGAAGAAAGTAATAATGGAATTGAATCTACAGGTTATGCAGAATTTACAAAATATACAAGTGAAAAATTTAATGAAGAAGAATCTGTAAATTTATTTATTGAATTGGTTAATTTTCGTGGTAAACACTCTTCTTATAATAATGAAATTATTTGAAAATCTGCTAATTCTCTTAATTCATCTATATGGTGGCAATCATGGTAAACTAGTCCACTTCAATAATTAGCTATTAAAATTCTTTCAATTCCTACATTATCTGCAGCCGCAGAAAGAAAATTTTCCACTTTTGGATTCATTCATAATAAAATTCGTAATAGATTACAAAATATACGTGTTAAAAAATTAGTTTATATTTATGGGAATCTTCAGATTTATAAAGGATCTTTAAAAATTACAAAAAAAAAAAAGTTAGCGTTAGTAATTAGTGATAGTAGTGAAAATGAAGGAAATAATGATGTAAGTGATTCTGATGAAAGTAATCATGGGTTTAAATATAATATATTAAATTTAGATGAAGAATAAATTTAAATATATTCAATAAAAATTTTTTTTCGAAATTTTATAAAAAAATATATATATGTTAATTAACCAAATCATAAAAATAACCATCCCTATCTGTGACTCCCTAAATACCATTTTAATTAGCATTGATTGGAACAAAAATAAATTTGCGAGTTTAAAATTATTATAAATAATGTATATTATTTCTAAAAGATAATATTATATTATGAAATATAGAGAACTATTTTTGAGAGTTTTTTTTTTACCATTACCCGCGTTTTATTATTTGACAAAGATCGACATCAAATTTATCTACCAATAAAAATTTTTGAAACCACGGCACGATCTACACAATCAGTTCAAATTTTTTTTCCCCGAATGGCTGCTATTCGAGGTGTATTGATAGATTTATCAGGCACATTACATATTGGCAATAAGGTTGCTTATTATAATTATTGATAAACCTCTTAAACCTTTTATTATAACAACTATGTTACTTATGACTTGTAGGCTTGCGAAGGAGCGATCGCTGGCTTAAAAAAACTTCGACAAGTTGATATACCTGTAAGTTAAACATTTTTCCCATTCACCTATTTATTTCTGACACATTGCATTTGTTATATCATTAGATTCGATTCTGCACTAATACAACTAAAGAGAGTGTCGCAAAATTAGAAAATAAATTGATAAATTTAGGATTCAAGGTTCATAGAAGCGAGGTAATTTATATATTTTTCATAATTTAATTATTTCATTATTATATTAACTCTATACATTCTTGAGGAAAGTTATTCACTTCATTAATTGCATGTCGTAATATAGTATTATCTCGCGAATTAAGGTAAAATGTGTTATATTTTTCAAGAGGTGTTTTATGTTTATCTTTATTAGTAATAACATTATTATTTGTATAGACCATTATTATTTCTTGAAGATGCAGCTCTTGAAGATTTTCAAGGAATTCCAAAAGGAGAACCAAATGATTCCGTCGTTGTCGGCTTATCTCCATCAAATTTTCAATACGATATGGTTAATACAATTTTAAGGTTTAATTAATCGATTTCGTAGACAACACATACTTAAGTGTGAACTTTTAAAAATCTTTAAGTTAAACAAGGCTTTTAGAATCCTAATTAGTAATAAAAATACACCCTTTATTGCTATTCACAAAGCAAAATATTTTGCAGAGCAAGGTAGTTTCGTTTTTTTTTTAAATCTTTAAGTTCTTTTTGACGATTACTAAACAACATTTAATTTTCATATATATATCTTAATTAAAAAATAGATGGATTAAGTTTAGGGCCTGGTCCTTTTGTGGAAGGCTTAGAATATGCGAGTGGAATAAAGGCTACTGTTGTTGGCAAAGTAATTATGATTAATATTACCGAGTTTTTTTTTTTTTTTAAATTGAACATATTTAACTTTAATGATATTGTTTGTTATATAGCCAGAGAAGAGTTTCTATGAATTGGCTCTCAAAGACATGGATTTATTGGACAATGCGAATCATGTAGTTATGATTGGAGATGATGTTGTAAACGATTTAGGAGGTAAGTTAAAATGAAATTTTTATATTTGTTGTTCCTTTTATTAAATTCCTTTATAAGATGGTGCCAGGGAATTAGGCTTGATAAGATATCTTGGTAATATATTATTCCGTGGCTTTTGTAGTTGAATTTTTGTAATTCAAGCATTATTTATTTATCATTATCATTACGTATAATATATCTCAGTCAAGACTGGCAAATATAGGAATGGAGATGAATTGCGCGATGGAGGCGTAAATGGTCTCTTTGAGAATTTTGGAAAGGCTGTCGATTTCATCGTGGAACAATTCAAAAAATAATGAGAATACGTATATAAACTATTTAACATTTAAATATTTTTTTGATATAATACCTCACATGATTTAATGGAGCAAAGCAAATAAATTTATTAGCATGACATGATAACGAAAATTAACTTTCAAAAATTCGAGGTTACATGCGATAAATTGAATTGTCGATCTTAACCGTGCAGATCAATTCACTTATATAAACTTGTTTAATAATTAATTGCCCCACAATCAAAAATTTTTATTTCTCAATTAAAATGAAAAGAACGCTTCGTAGTTCATTAAGAAGTAGCAACAAACAATTAAAAAAACAATCAGATACATCGATACCTCCACCACAATCACCTCCGCAAACTCCAGAAACTGAAAATAAAAATTTTTTTGATACGTCAACAGCAGGTACGACTTTAAATTCTGAAACTGATACGGTAACTGAAGGATATAATGATTACGATCTAGAAAAAACCAATGAAACCAATAAACAAGCTAAATACATTGAAAAGGATTTAGCAAGTGTTAATGAGCGAGGTAAGGTAAATAAAGAAAAAGACAAGGCAGTGATAGTCTCAGACAACAAAATGGTAAAGAATAAAGATATAATTAACGGTAAATTCATTATTTATAATGACTCAATATTAATAAAAAAATTTTTTTCAATGTAAATTAATCTTAAAATGATAATAATTAATTAATATTTATCAGTAGATGAATCAAAATTATTATTACAAGGTATAATAGTAGAAACCGAGGATAAATCATTATCAATCTCTTTGGATACTGAAAGGAAATGTTTTAGTTTAACAGTAAAATCGAATGTACATAAAGTTAAAATTTTACCAAAATTAAAAACAAAGTTGGTTCGATTAATTATAAATCATCAAGGTAGATCAATAAATCATACGAATTATCATAATCCTTATTTAATACTTTTAAAAGATGGGTTAAACCATATTGAGATTTTGGCGAAAGAATTAGAATCAAGTGTAGATGATCGAGAATTTGGTACCTTTAACGGAGATTGGAGATTTGAAGATAAATATTCCCTTTTTATCACGAAATTGTGATGGGAATTTAGATTATGAATTCAAAAAGTTATAATAATAATAGTAAAAGTAATAGTAATTTAAGGATTTTTTTTTTTATGTGATTTAAATAACTTAATTAGGTTAATTTCATTTTTATTACGTCACGCGTTTTTCAAATATATTGATAATATATCAAATGTAGCTTATAATTATCTTAAAAAGGTAATAAAATGTTTTTCAAATTCAAATAAAAAAAAAAAAATAATAATAATAAATCTAATGTGATTATGATCTATTCTATATAAATTATAATTTATCCAATCTAAAATTACAAAATAGCATGTTGCCCATATATTATTGAACGTATTTTAAAATAATCATCAGATAAAGAGCCTTCTAAGGTTAATTGTCCACTTGGTGTCTGCATTAGAACGTTAAAACGTTAGTCAATTGAAGATGTACACGTCGATAAAAATTAAGTTATTACTACTCACTTTCCTAATGGCTACTTTTTCATTACAAACCAAAACACCTTCACCTTTAAATTCCGCAGTAATTCCTTCCGATTGAATTACCCGTTTCAATTCTGTAAGTTTAATTTCACCTACGAATACGGGATTATCACTGGCTGCATACTCTTCAATTGGCATTACATCAAGTATGGGAAATGACGAGTCCGGGGGAAGATGTATTTTTCCAGATATAAATGAAATATCGTAATCTTCCAACTATTTAAATTGGAAAATAAAGATTTATTACACATGTGAAGATCACGTGAAATCATTATAATTTTTACCTTTGAAAGCCTTAATGAGCTAACCAATGAATCAGTTAATTTAACTTGATAGAAATTTATGGCCTCAGAAACATTCAATAATTCACCAACGTCGGGCGTATATATGTCACGTGTCATGGAATGGAGAGCCAAACAATTCGAAGTAAAATCATGAGTTGCTTCAGATGAAGCGTGGACAACTATCTGAAATTAATATGAGAAATCAATTATGAAACCTTTAAATTAACAAATAGATCATAAGATATTACATTACACCTACCAATTTTCTCGGTTGAACTTGAGGCACAATTGTTTTCAACGATCGGCCATCATTTGTACCTTCTAAATCAATAAATCTTAATTGACACTGAAAGTGTATTTCTTCATCATAATATACATATTTTGTCGGTACATCAACATTCGATTGATCTGCTTTATCAGACTAATACAAAAGAAACTATTAATAAATAAATCATTTACAAATCTCAATAAATGAATTTGACCTTGTTCAACTTACATCATCATCGCTATCACCTTCCATTCTATCACCATTCTCACCATCAATCATGAGTCCTAATCCTTCAATTCCTTTGTTTTTAAATTGATCTGCTTGGATGAGTTCACCGTACTCATCATATCTTTTCCTCTTTTCGATATATGGAAACATTAAATAGCTTTGGGTTTGTTTAAAAAAACCTCCAAGCTTAGTTGCATCTCTAACATAAAGATCAAATTGTGTGGAAAGTAATTCTTCTATATCATTATCACCAAGTTCACTTTCTGATCCATCAGTTTCATCTTCCTCAATTATGGAACGTGATTTAGCAATAAGAGCCGCTTGTGCTGCTTCACGCTCTTGCTTTTTACGTTGTTCGCTTATATAATCTATAAGCTCTTGACCTTCTAATGGAACCTTTTTCCTTATCTAAAAGGGGATACACAGGTACGTAAATTTGTTGAATCATATAAACAACAGATTTCAAAAATATATTTAATAATAATAAAAAAAAAAAAAAAAACCTCAAGAGACATAGGTAAATCCAACAAAACGGCAGGTTTCACGGGTCCTGAATTGTTAGTGTCCTCATCACTTCGTTTCTCCCATTCGTAATATAATTTTCTTGCCAAAGAATATGGTGGGCCTCGATCAGTTAATATAACAGCATTATCGGGTGATGTTCCCCATTCTAAAAATAGATCTCTAGCATATCCTGTTTCTAAGCTAACATTACTTGCTATAACAACTTTAGGTCCTGGATATTTTGATAATTCTTTGTAACGCGTGCATAATCGAAGGTACCTAAATTAGTGAATAAGAAAAAGAGTAATTAACGTTAAATTATGATGAATATTGAACATCCTGAGATATTTGGTATCATAAAATAAATTGTTTACGTGAACATTTAATAATTTAATGACAACACATTCAAATATCACTCAAAAATTGGAAATTGTAGATGATAATATATATAATCTTTTTTTATTAATAATTTAATTTTGTATAATTTATATAATATATAATAATTTTGGAATATTAGATTTTTGAAGGAAAAAACTAACCTAAATTCAAAAGGATTTTCTCTTTTGTTATCAAATTGTCTATTGATAGCATCACTCATCCATTCCAACATACTTTTTGCATACTTTATTGTATTATAACTTTGATGACTTAAGAATATCAAAGGATATGAAACTTGATGAAATGCCCAATGTTGATCTAACAAATATGCCAATTCTAAAACTCTTGCAGATGAATCCGTTGGTAATAACACTGATCCACTATCTTGTAACGTTGTCATGATTGTTTCTAGATCATTCGAATATCAAATTACAAAAACATTAAGAATGCAGAAATTAAGAGCAGCAACGAAAGAATTACAAAATCCGAATATTTTGTATTCTTACCAAATAAAGCAGTATCACGAAGTTTCCTTGCAGGATGAACTATAAGAGAATTGTACGCGTCTGTTATCATTAAAGTAGGTCGACTCAAAGCATCAAGAACTACACCATCTTTATGTAAGACAGTACCATCAAGATGCCTTTCCTTCTTGTGATTATAATCAACAGCGTACACAATCTCTTCTGCATCCTTTTTTATCTTCCATATTGTGCCACCTATTGCGTGCCCTGCTGCATATGCTGTAATCGTAATACCCTTGAATTTGACTATCAAATGAAAAAGTTAAATTTCATTGAAAATTCTTAATACTAAACGTGATGATAAGGTTTAAACAAAAAAAATTACCTCCTAATGAAATGGGCTGTGAATATTTCAACGTATGAATTTGGTCAAATGCAGTATCAACAGTATTTAAATCAAAGGTATCAAATTCTGATTCATTTATTTTTGATTGAAAAACATCATACAAACACATTTTCCCCATATTTAAAACAGGTAATGTGGCATACACGGGACATGCAAGACCAAAATGTCCGTAAGCATATGGATATGCTCCTAAATGCTGTAAATCAGGATGTGAAAGTAGAAGTACGTCCACTTGTTTCGCGACTCTAATTGTCGATGGAGTAATATTGACTTAGTGATAACAGAATATTAAAAGAAAATTAAAGTTTGACACATGATTTGAAGAGAGAAACGTGTAATAACCTTCTCAGATTTTTCAAGTCTTCGACATTAAATTCATCGTTCCAACCACAATCTAGCATTATTCGTACTTCGTCGTCTATCTCCACAAGATAACATAAAGGATCTTCGTTTTTCGCACCCGATATTACAGTAAAAACAATCATCTTATCCAAAAGAAAACGAGAAAAAAAAATATAAAATGTAAATTTTTTTGTATTTATTAATGTTATACAAGAAATTACGTGTCAAAGTTATTTTGAGATTTATTTCATTTATTTCAGCAACTAATCGTTTATTTATCCGCGCTTGTGACACTGCCAAATAAAACCCACTAAAATAGTATCGGCCGAATGTTTGATTTTGCTCAAATACCCATCGGCCGTCTTTCAAGGTACTAATCATTATTTATAAATTAAAATTAAATAAATAATGGAAAGTCAAAGTCAACCAATTACATTAATTCGTAATAACGAATTTTTATATATTGAAGAAAACTTTGAAACCAGAACAATAAACTATTCTTTGTTTCAGGTTTTCAATCTAAAAAGTCCTATAAACAATGTTTCTTTATCGAATATTGTTATACCGACCTCACTTGGTAGATATTACGCGTTTGAAGTGTCTGAATATAATGGCACTTCCTTTAAGGTAAACCTAATAACTTATCTCGTATTAATAATCTTTCTGACAAACTTTTCTAAAAAATTTGTCCTATAGGTTAAAATTCTTTTCGTCAACCAAACCCATTTAGATTTTGTCAATTTGTTACGCGTTGCTACAGATAATTTATTTTACGTTTCTGAAAATGGTTTTTCTGATTGGGTTCCTATCGATTCTATCACGCTTCGATTGATTTATCCAAATGCAAATTCGATAAACCTTATTGAAAATATCACAGAAGAACAAATGATAGATGAGCATACTTTGGTTGAAGAGTCCACTTCTCCTGATTATGATGATGTTGAATGGCTTTCACGCAAACTGAAAGAGATGGCATTACTTTTTCAATCAAAATCTGATATTCCAGCTGATGTGTTGGAAGGTCTTTTTAGTTCCATGTTTCCGAGACGTGTTACAACTATGAACATCATTGAGGGAGTTGGAATTTTAATTTCTGCTATGGATCATAGATTGAAATATCGAATGATTCGGAATATCTTTAAGAAGTTGGCCTCTCTTATCAAAAATAATAATTTAAAATCGATGCTTCTTGACAACCGTTTTGTAAGTAAAAATCTTTTTCATTTATGATTATTATTGATTAGATATTTATTTGCCTTTTCATTTGATAGGTACCAGATTTTCATTTCAATATTATTCTTAATCTTTGGACCCTTATTGAAAGTTTTAAAGTTATTAATAAAACATGTGAAGTGCTCAGGGATTCCGATGAGAAATTTAAAAAAATCTTGGCAGCAGAAAGTTCAAATTTTATAACATATCTTGAACATGTAGATGTTTTGATTTTAAACATTTTAACTATTCTCGCTAATGATCAATATGATTTACTTCAATGTAAGTTAGAATTAAATGTTTATTCATTATTTTATTAGTTACTTTCTAAAATTTATTATCTTGTAGCACGTTTGTCGATTTTCATCAAAGCGATTGAAGATTTGATGAAGATCATCGAATTAATATCCGTCAAATGTAATGAGCATTTAAAAGAAATAGAATCTGAGGAACAAGTCGCGAAAAGAAAAGCATTGCTACATCTTGGGTAAATAGTTTTAAAATTAAAAATCAATCAATCAATAAAGTTATTATTTATTTATCGATTAAACTAAATTATTTATTAAAGGATTGCGGCTGTTGAAATAATCTATGGCTTTTCAATGTACAGATCACGTAGTACAGCTCAGGTATGTTAAAAGTAGGAAAAGATATATATAATTTATTTAAACTAATTGTTTGTGTTTTGTATTATTAACATTAAAAGAGAATTGCCGAAGGAGCCTTATTTGTAGCAAATGGATTTGCTTTTGGTAAATCGTTGACTGCAAAACAACAATTTGTTGAAGCTATTAATCAACAAAGCAATACTCTCAGGAGATTACATGAATTACATGCTACTTTCACTCAAATGTCCAATCAAGGGAAAAAAATCATATTAGATTTGAGTGGGGAAGAGATGTCGTATCAGCGTGAAACGTTGATCGAGGAGTTCGTGGAATTTAGAATTCAATGCAAACAATTTTCTTTTGTGTTGGATGGAATTGATGAATAATCACAAAATTATAACATTATATAGAATTGGATATAAGATATAAACCTGTTTAACTAAAATTGATGTTAATTTACTTACTTTTGAGAATATTATAAGGAATTTCTTATATTAGTGAGAATTCTATTTACTATTTTTGAATCAAAGTCCATAATACTAATCAAAACTTATTTCTAACTTAGTATGATCGTCTATTAATGTAAACCATTATTACATTATTTATTATGACAGAAAAATTTTATATAATAAATACATCCAAAATTTTGCAAAATTCATAATTAAATTGCATTATTTAATAAATATATCGATTGAAATTGCATGAAAGCGTCATTTTGAAAATTTAAACATAAAATTCATAAAAAAAAAACTAGTTTAACAATATTCATTTATAAGTTCTCCACAAGCCTATGATTGATGAGATCATGCCAATTATGTTACATTAGATCTGATTAGCAGTAATGTGATAAATTGAAAATTGATTGTGACAAAATTGAGAGCGATGTAGATAAATTTTTTTTTTTGTTGATTATCTAAAACCGATCCATACTTTCCTTGAAAATGGCAACATTAAAATTTAATATTTTACGTTTACGTTCATTAATAAATTACATTTTTTCAGATTCCACCAAATTTATAAGAAGTAGCGTAAATAAAAAAATTCCAATAAACCTTTTTTATAATGATTTAACTTTGTATAATGGTGAAATATATCTCTACAAGAGCTTTTCTCTAAATGCTTTTCCTCCAAAACTTGCAAGTAGGATTTAAAAATGACACTTTTTTACAAATTATTTTTTTCATTTAATATTTATTAAATATCATTCTATAAATTCGAAATTTACAGAAACTGTACCGATATTAAATTCAACTTTCTTACTAAATCAAAAGGTAAAAAGGATTTAACTTGCTCATTTAACGAATTTTTTTTTTTTGACAAAATTTTTTTAAATAATTATTAGCGGTCTTTTCACGCAACAGGTATGCATTCAATTCGAATTGTGTAAATATTATCTTAACAATTTCTCATTGCATTTTATTGTATATAGCTATTTCTAGACAACATAAGGATTTTTATGAACTCTTGGATATAGATAAGAAAGCTTCTCAAGCCGAGATCAAAAAGGCATATTATGGTGTATGTAAAAAAATAATTTTATAATTTGATATTTAAAGGAACCAATATATAAATAATGATTTATTATAATAATTCATTATAGCTCGCGAAAAAGTATCACCCGGATACAAATAAAGATCCTAAGGCAAAAGAAAAATTTGTACAAATTCAGGAAGCGTATGATGTAAATTATAGTTTATTACATCTTTTGTACTTTGACATTTAAAAACATATTTGATTTGACAATATTATTAATTTATGTTAGATATTAAGCGATGAAGAAAAGCGAGCACAATACGATCAATTTGGATCATCATTTGCAGGTTTGTTATTTCTATTTCTTAAAGTAAATTTAAAAATAATTTTGTTAAAATGATTTTTTATATTTAGATGGTGGACCAACTGGAGCAGGTGGATTCCCTAGCGGAGCGGACTTTGAGGGTTTTGGTGCGTTTGGTTTCAATAACAGCAATGATCTTTTCAGTCAATTCTTTAGAGGAACAAAAGGATTTGGCCCAGGAGGAAGACAACCTGCTGGGTTTGGACAACCATTCGTAACCGGATCGGATATAGAAATAGGGTTAGGTTTATCATTTATGGAAGCAGTAAAGGGAGTAACGAAAAGTGTTATGGTAGAATCGATTGCAAAATGTAAATCATGCAAAGGATTGGGAACTAAAGGAGGAAAAAAACCGGATAAATGTAAAGCATGCAAAGGTACGGGAGTAGTATTCATGCAAGTGGCTTCCGGATTTCACATGCAAAGTATGTGCCCTGAATGTGGTGGCAAAGGTCTTAGAATACCTATGGCAAATCAATGTCAAACATGTGATGGTCAAGGACAAGTGAAAGAAAGAAGGACTGTTTCGATCCCCGTTCCTGCAGGTAAATGAAAATTTTTGCAGAGGTTTTAGTGATTTAGGTTAATATATTTAAGTTTTGTTGGTTCTAACTCACCTTTACAGGAGCGGAAGATGGAATGAAACTTCGTATGCCGAAACAAGGAGATATGCCTCTTGGCAGTGAAGGAACACCAGGAGACTTATACGTTAGATTGCAAGTCTCCCCACATAAAACATTTAAACGACGAGGACCACATATTCATGTTGATGCAGTAATTCCATTCTATACAGCTATGTTGGGAGGATATATCCGAGTACCTACAATAGAAGGTGATGTTGAACTTAAAGTTCCTTCAGGTACTCAACCCGATCAACAAGCTCTTTTGAAAAAGCGTGGTGTGACAAATGTGGAAAGTCATTATCGTGGTGATCAGATTATTACTTTTAAAGTCGATTTACCAAAGTAAGAAATAAATTCCGAATAATTTATTTACTTTTAATTCTCACATTAACAACCTTTTTCCTTCGTTTTTCATAGAACACTTAACACTAAACAACGCGAATTGATTGAACAATTTGTATCAATAACTGAGGGAACGCGATCAAATGAAACTAAAGATGATGAAGGATTTTTCAAAAGCACAATTGGTAAATTAAAGGATAAGTTACATCATCACGAAGATACAAATAACAGTAAAAAATAAGCAACAAAAAAAAAATAGAAAATAAATTTTTTTTTTTTTTAATAATAAAATAAATTCATTGAATAAAGCACCATTGAATTTTTTTTTTAATATGTAAACAATGTTTATATGTTTAATATTTGTTCCTCCTTTAAGATCTATTTCTTTTTACTTTTCCCTTTAGAATCTTTTCCTTTTTTCTTTTCTGATTCTTCCATTTTTAGTAGTTCTTCTTCGGCTTTCTTTCTTTCTTTTTCTAATCTAGCCTTTTCTCTTTTTTCATGTTCAGCCATTTCAAGTTTTTCTCTTTCCTCTCTTTTCTTAAAGTTTTTTTCTTCTTTTTCTTTTAATTCTTTAATTTGTTCAGCAATTTCCTTATGTCTTTCATGTTGAACCATTTCGTTAGCAGTATATAAAATAGTTTGGCCCCAGTTCTTTTTAAAAGTTTCAGCTTCTTGAGTAACTTCTATCACATCTTGTTGAAGTTCTTGTTCAGCTTTTTGAAAAGAATTCCATAATCCATCACCCACAGCACCTTTTTGTACTAAAGAAAGAAGAGCTGGACGATTCTCCCTAAGTTTCATTACTCTTTCAACATTTGTCATAGCTCTACGTAATAACGCAGCTTTTAGTTGTAATTCAGTAGCGGGAGGATCAGTTTGTTGTAGTAGAGAAACATAAGTATCTCGAGTTGTGTGATCGGGAAACCACGGAACAAGCATTGCTGATGCTAAAAATATCCCATGAGAAAGAAAAAATATAAAATAAATAAAAAAAAATTAGACGATTATAATATTTTTGAATTCCTTTGTTTTTAAAACCGGATCTTTGTTTTGATTGTTGCTAATAAAATCAAATTTTATTACCAGCTTTTCGTCTACGCCATATGTAAGAAAATAAGCTCATCACCATTAACATTCCTCCTACATAGACAACAGTAACTAACCATGACGACATTTTTTTATTTTTTTTGAAATATAAAAAAATATGTTAATCAAATAATCAGCTAGACGACAATTCCACCATAAAAAAAACTTATTGAATAAAATTAAAATAAAATAAAAGAATAATAATGATAAAAAAGATTGGGTAAATAATTGTTTATTTGATTAATTTTTTTTTTTGATGTGAATAAGAAATTAAAATAAAAATTTTCAAATAATGCCACGTTTCGAAATTTATTAGGTCGGAGGATTTCATTGATTATCTACCTCAATAAGGAATATCCTTTTATGGCCAATATTCCCAATAGTTTGAACCCAACCATCATTTCTATACATTTTGATCTATAAGTAAAGTATATATGTATATATTGAATCTTGTCATTAAATACATTATATTGATGATTTGTCATAGGGTAAAGTAATCAAGTAAAGTAATTTAAAAGGGATATGCGGTATGATTTATAATTCATTTATTTCATATAATATCATATTTATTTTATTTTTTTATTAAAAAAAAGAAAACTTGGCAGAAAATATATACTATATATTTTTTTTTTGAGAGAGAGGGATGGATTTATTGATATATAAAAATCTAAATTATTAAACCGTCTTTGTTAAATCAAAATGTACATCAATATCCTAGATGTGTCATTCCTTTATAGATTGAAATAAAAATCTGTTTCGATAATTGATTTCGATATTGAACGATATCATTCTAGTAATTGTTTATAGTATAATTTATATATGAATTATTCAAGAAATTTAAAAAAACAAATGTCTAGAATGTTTTTCAATAAAATAAATAAGGATAATTTTGTTAAATAATGACGCGAAGAATAAATTATTGGAATGAATGGATAAATGGATGGATGGAACGTTAATGATAAGTATTAGATTTTTTTTATCTGAAGTATTATTTATTCCCATAAAATTATTAATCTCATGTGAAAATCAGGACAAAATTAAAAAAGACATTTATCTTTATTTAAAATATATTTTAGCAATTATTCATGATTGCTAAAAGAGGCATGCATTTTACATCACTAGATCGATTTCAATAAATTTTTTCCCAATAATTAAACAATAGGCCGATTGATGGCTAAAACTCTATTCAATTTTGTACATCGAATTATGAATTATAATTGGTTAATTACATTTGTGACACGTCTGCATTTTATCGACATCTAATATGTGAGATATATATATATATGATATACTAGTATATCATATTTTCGCAAATGTACAAATTATAATCTAATTAAACTATTCTTTTTATAAAAGCCAACAATTATATATACATTTCAAGTAATATAAAAAATGTGCTATCATCGATTTTTGATTTTCGATTAACTCTTATTTTTATTTTTATGATATTTATAACATATATTCAATGAATTTGTAATGAGACATATATTAATTAATTGGGGTAACTATAATATATTAAACTAAAAACTAGAATATAAAAAAAATACATAAAAAATAATCAATCAAAATTATGCTCCTTACAAAACTTGATTGCGGGAGAATATTCATGATACGCAGCTAATTTCATATAATATTTAGCCTGTTGATAATCTCTTTTATCGCCGCCGAAACCTATGAAATGTAAATTTCCAGCATTATACATTGCCACTTTAAGACCATTTTCAGCGGCTTTCTCAAAATATTTGAGGGCT